TTTTAAAACAACAACTTATTGTGATAGTAGCTATAGAGAACCTCGGCGATATTTATGATAATGCAAGCCTTTCAACATCAATACAGCAATAATAATAATAACGATAATAATAACAATTGTACAAACTTTGAAAGTGTAAGAGAATTTTTAAACCATTGTCATCTAAGCCAATATTATGATATCTTCATCTCTGAAGGTTTCGATTCGATTTCTTCGGTAAAGGCGATGATATAACTCTCTTTAAGCGGAAAATAAAGTTTTGATGTAACTAACCTTTTTTTTTTAATATGGACAGCTTCTAGAAATCACAGAAGAAGACATGATTGTGATGAATATCAAACGCGGTCACAGAAGGGTACGTGCAACAGACAACAAAAAAAGCAAAGGGAGAAAGTTAATGGTCTTTTATAGTTGATCCAACGAGAGATAGCAACCGCAAAGGGTATTCCTCGCGATCAACCTTTGGTAACTAACATAATGGGACCAAGTAAATCAATAATACATCAATATGATGTCATTGTTTTAACTTTATTTTGACCTTTTCTAGAATATTCGCTTGATATCCCTTCGTCTCTAAAAGTTGAACATTCAAGAGGCCCAACTGCCAATTATGCCAGTAGTGGATATGAAACTCTCATCACAGATATGACCAGTCCTCGCAGTATGAATAGCGGCATGGGTGGAAGTAATACGAGTGGCAACAGCAGTAGTAATAACTCTGGACCCAATCTCACTTCGCGTTTCATCCCACCCAACATTGCTGCTTTGAGTGATAACCATAACAACAACAACAACAACAATAACAATAACAACAACGGCAGCAGTAACAACAACAATAGTAATAGCAACGCTAAGAGCAGTATCGATACTACTCATGGCGGCAGAAGCAGCAGCCGCAGCAGCAGTACTAATGAAATTATACCAAACCAAACGATCATACGAAGTACTAGCATCTCGTCCAATGAAGATAACGAATCTGTTCAGAGTGATTCAACAGCGCCCAAACGCAAATACCGTCGGCACGCAAAACCAGATCGAAATGCACCCATCAAGCCTCCATCAGCGTACATCATGTTCTCGAATGATTCGCGTGCAAAACTAAAAGACCAAAACCTATCATTTGCTGAACTAGCAAAGGTCGTTGGCGAACAATGGAAGAACCTGAGTTACTATGAGAAGCAAGCCTATGAGCGAAAGGCCATGCGTGCAAAAGATGAGTACCTTGCCGCGCTCGAACGATACCGTGAGACGGATGAGTATAAGCGATATCAGCAGTATCTCAAGGAATTCAAAGCCAAACAAGAGTCTGCCAACCGTCTGATTGATAGAGCGAGAAAGAGAGCTAAACAGAAATCGCCTGGAAGGTATATTTCTATAAAAGTAAATTTCGAACAATGTCTTTAATTTGTTCTTTTTCCTTTCCTTTTTTGTAGCGGAAGTGCTGCTGACGCAAGCTCTAATGGTAACAGCACGGGCAATGGCAGTTCAGGTAGTTCAGGTAGTTCGGCTGACAACAATGATAAAGATAGCATGCCGTCTATATCTCAAACAAAAGATTCACCGTCTCATCGTGCGTATGTAGACCAGCCTATGACCAATGATTATCGGGACGTTGAGAATTATCGTCATCAACAACAAGAGCAACAAGAGCAGCCTTCGTCATCACCACTACCAGAGCAACAACATCCAGAGTGGAACTATCGCTCAGATCAGATGATGAGAGGCATAATACCCGTCGAGTTTGTGCACACACCACAACCTAAATATTCCAACAATAATGATAACGAAAACCCTAATAATTTACAAGTTTTAAGTGGTAGCAAACATCCATTGGACACAGATACACCTTATCAAGAACGCCCTCACAAGAGAAGAAGCCCAAGACTTCGTAAACCAAGTAGCGAATGATAACAAAAAAGCCATATGCCCCTTCTTTACTTTTTATGCCCACGTACATTCTTTTTTATACAGTGTGGCTGATGAACATTGTCGGTTTTGTTTTTCAAATATTTATGACCAAAAATTATTCTAGAGAAAGAAAGAGCAATAGTGTACTGTATTTTTATAATTATTGGCGTTAATTTTATAAAATATTGTCGTAAAATAAAAAAAATATTTTCGTAAAAAGACGACAAAGAAAATACGTTTGAATAAAACGACATCATGTCAAGAGAAAGAGAGATAATGAGTATATGTAGAAAAAGAGAGAAAACGTATGTTAGTATTAGAGCACATATCCTAATATTAGTTTTACTTACCACCAAGGTGCATTCTGGGGAG